TATTTTTTTATTTTTCAAACAGACACAATACACAATACACAATACATTTTCCTTTTTCCTTAACAATACTATGTCCTATATCTCTTACGTTTATTAATAATTATTTACATTACTTCTCTTACATTTTTATTCCTCAATTCTAACCAACTATAATACATGTCCCATACCTTGTAAAATTCAATACCTTCTTTGTCTTTCATTTCTAAAGTTAGTTTGTTCATCTCTGCACAGTCTAAAATCTTTCCTATAATCTTTGCACTTGTTGGTATGTTTTCATTTTTCCAATGTTGCGCATATGTAATACGTGCCGCTGTTATAATATGTATAATGATGTATTGGAGTCGTTTTTCAATTTTTGGATTAATTATACCTAGTAAAAATATTTCGGGCTTGAATTCAATTTGTTGTCTTGTTATTTCCAGTAGCCATCTTCTTATCTGCTCTCAGTAGATTTTTGCTTTGGGGCATTGCCACCACATATGGTAGAATGTTCCCTCATTGTTTTTGCATTTCCAACAATCTGGATTCATATTCTTATAAATTTTAGCCAATCTTGCCAGTGCTAGATGCCATCTGTAAAACATTTTAATTTGGTTTTCTTTATACACAGTTGACAACGTTAATTTGCAATTTACATTCCAAATTCTTTCCCATTCATCTAGTCCTATATTTCTACCTATATTTTGGGCCCATGCTATCATCGGGCCCTTTACTATTTCTTCTTCAAATTCAATTTCTAATAGGAGTTTATAGGTTTTTGTTAAAAAAATTTCTCCCTTGTTTATCAATATTTTATCCAATTGCTGTAATGTTTGATATATCCCATACTCCTCCATATCTTTATTATATTTTGATTTTATCTGTGCATATGGCCATCAATCGATAATTATTCCCTGTTCTTTTAATTAATCTCTTGATCTTAATTTCCCTTGGTTACCTAATAATTCTTTATACCTAATCATTTTTGTTTTATCTAATGTGTTTGGATGAATCATCGCCTCCATTGGTGAAATCCAAATTGGAATTTTCGTATAGTATTTTTTTAAAATTTTCCCCATATCCAAATTAATGCATCCCTTATCTGATGTTGGAAGAAATATGTATGAATTTTCTTATCTTTCCCCCATAGAAAAGTGTGCCATCCAACTTGTAGATCGTGACCTTCAATTGTAAGGACCCTTTTATTTTCTAAATTTATCCAGTCACTGATCCAAAGCAATCCAGCTGCTTGGTAATAAGTTTCCCATTTTGGGAGTCCAAGGCCACCTCTACTTCTACTATCCTGTAACACTTTAGCATTTATTCATGCTTTTTTACGTAGCCATATAAATTTATTAATCATTTTATTTAATTCATCAAAAAAAAATTCCCCAGTTTTATTGGAACTGTTTGAAAGAGATATAACACTCTTGGTAAAACATTCATTTTAATCACCGAAATCCTTCCTAACATTGATAATTGTAATTTCCCCCAAATTTCTAAATCTTTTTGTATACATAGTACCAATTTTTTATAATTATCTTCTTTTATTGAGGAACATCTTGTGATGAGCCAAATTCCCAAATATTTAACCTTTTTTACTATTTGCAACCCCAAATTTTCTTCTAATCCCCTTTTTTGTTTTTCAGTTAAGTTTTTAACTAGTATTTTAGTCTTTTATTTATTTTTAGTCTCACCACCATTCCATAATTCTCTATTTCATCTATTAAAATTCTACCTCTTTCAAACGGTTCCTCTATATAAAACACCAAATCATCTGCGAATGCCTGTATCTTATATTCTTCTGTTTTAATCCTTAATCCCCTTATCTCTTTGTTATTTCTAATTTTAATTAGTAGCACTTCTAACGTTAGAATAAAAAGTAGAGGTGACATTGGACATCCCTGTCTTACACCCTTGTTAATTTCAATCTTCTCTGTATTTTCCCCATTTATTATTACTCTGGCCTTTTGTGTTCTATATATTGACTTTATCATTTGTTCAACTTTCTTGCCAAATTTCATATTTTCTAGCTGTTGGAACATAAATTGCCAATTAAGATTATCAAAAGCCTTCTGGGCATCTAAAAATATTAATGCAGCCTGTTTTTCGGGATGTGCTTCATAATATTCCAAAACATTCAGTACAATTCTTGTATTATTCCTAATTTGTCTATTTGGTAGAAAACAGTTTTGATCCGAATATATTATTTTATTTAATATTGTTTTTAGTCGTTCCGCCATTATTGTAGTAAAAATTTTATAGTCCGAATTCAACAACAAGATTGGCCTATATTTTTTTATTTGTTTAGGATCTGTATCTTCTTTTGGAATGAGGGCTGATGTGGTTCCCATCTTCAAGAAAGGGGGGAAAAACAGACCCAGGAAACTACAGACTAATCAGCCTAACATCAATACCTGGGAAGATCTTGGAAAAGATAATCAGAAAACAGATCTGCAAACAACTAGAAGCAAACAAAGTTATAACCAGTAACCAGCACAGGTTTGTCAAAAACAGATCATGCCAAACCAATCTTATTTCATTCTTTGCTAAAGTAATTAAATTAGTAGACCAGCAAAATGCTGTGGACATAGTATACTTAGACTTCAGTAAGGCATTTGACAAAGTAGACCACAACCTGCTGCTTAGTAAGCTAGAAAAAAGTGGGATAGACAACAGCACCATCAGATGGATCTGTAGCTGGCTGCCAAACCATACTCAGCGAGTAGTCCTCAGTGGTACTACATCCACACGGAAAGAAGTAAGCAGTGGGATACCACAAAGCTCCGTCTTAGGCCCAGTACTCTTCAATATCTTCATTAATAACTTAGACAAGGGAATAGAAGGGGAACTCATCAAATTTGCAGATGACACCAAACTGGCAGGAATAGCCAACACCCCAGATGACAAGCTGTAAGGACCTGCTTCAACACCTCTTCTCATGAAAGCAGAACTCTTGGAATGGTTTCATCCCAAAAGGAACTTTTATTAGGAGAAGTTGACAGTAGGCATAGAAGGCAGGATCTGATGGGTTCCTGTGCAAATCAATAGGTTAAAAGAGCAAGAGCAATAGTTAATCTGGTCAGCTCAAATGGGCCAATCCCCAGGTGATGAATCTGCTGTGGGAACGGGGCTGATAAGGCACTGTTCCTAAGGCTGTGAAGCTCTTGTTAGATCTTCGCAACTAGTCTTCTGCAGTGAGAGATAAGCCAGATGGCTGGAGGCACATTCTTTTCTCACCCCCAGGTTGGCATCAAGGGGAAACAGTTCAAAGAGCAAGCAGATAGAGGAAGCAGAGAGGATATATTGTAGCGGCTGAAGCAAAGTGAAAAAAAATACATTGTAGTTCCCATAGTTTCCCCCCTCCCCCCAGGAGTATGGCAGAACCCACAGGAAAGAAGAAGAAAAGACCTAATAAAGGAGAAAGCCGCCTCTCCCAATATGTGGGTTCTGAAACAAGCTCATGATCCAAAAAGATATTGACAAACTTGAACAATGGGCCCTATCCTACAAAATGAATTTTATTGTGGACGAAAGCAAAGTTTTACATTTAGGGAGGAAAAATCAAAGGTTTAAGTACATATAAGCAAGGTCTGGCTTAAAAACAGTAACTGTGAGAGGGACCTTGAAGTCCTAGTGGACGATCACTTGACTATGAGCCAGCAGTGTGCAGCAGCAGACAAAAAAGCTAATACAATCCTGGGCTGTATAAACATAGGCATAGAATCAAGATCACACAAAGTATTAGTACTGCTTTATAAAACCCTAGTAAGACCACACTTGAATACTGCAACCAATTTTGGCCACCATACTACAAAAAAGATGTTGAGACCTTGGAAAAAGTTCAGAGAAGAACAACTAAAATGATCAAAGGCCTGGAGACTAAAACATATGAAGAACAGCTGCAGGACTTGGGTTTGGCTAGTCTAAAGAAAAGAAGAAACAGGGACGACATGATAGTAGTATTCCACTATTTGAGGGGCTGCCACAAAGAAGAAGGCATCAAACTATTCTCCAAAGCACCAGAGGGCAAGACAAGAAACAATGGCTGGAAACTGACCAAAGAGAGAAGCAACCTGGAATTAAGGAGAAACTTCCTAACAGTGAGAACAATTAACCAGTGGAACAGCTTGCCTTCAGAAATCATGGGCACTCCATCCCTGGAGATTTTAAAGAAGAGATTGGATAGTCACTTGTCTGAAATGGTATAGGTTCTCCTGCTTCAGCAGGGGGCTGGACTAGAAGACCTCTATCATTTGCATTCTTCAGCTGAATACTCAGAGCCTTTCCCTAACTCACATTTCTGAAATAAAGCATCAACCTTTTTTTTGTTTCTCTTTTCCCCAAAACCAGAGGCAAAAGTCTGAGACTTTTCCCTGCAGATATATCCTTCAGAGAAACATTAGAACAAAAATATTCCAGATTCTGACTCTATTTGGTGGAGCAGTAACGAACTTGTCCAGTAGGTGGCTGGCATGCTCCAAAAAAACCAGGCAGGAAATTTCCTACACCTATTAAATATATATCCATTGAAGGAAGGTTGCAATATTGTGTGAAGTAAAGCAAGCACTGCTGACGTCTCAGAGATCCTGTCTCTAGCATTTGTGTGTTTAAAAGAGCTGCTCCTTACTTTTGCTGTAAACACAGCCTACAAATGCAGGCTGAAAAGATGAGGAAGACAGCAACAACCAATTTGTTCTTGAAAAATGTGCTCTATATATTTGGGCAGTGAAAGCGGCATAGATCTTGGACCTGGATGGCTTTGCATCGATGACATCTTTTGCTCTTGACAACTAGGAAAATATTTATTCACCATCCTAACTAACAGACAAAGAGAAGAGGTTTGGAAATGAAACTAGGTTGACACTTGTTCATTTGAATGAGCTTATTTATAATGAGTGTCTTTCCCTTCTTGATAAGCAATATCACATATACCCACTTCCGTCAATAGTTACAAAGGAGGAAGGCAAACAACTCAAAACAATTTGTTCATGCTTTTTCCATTTAAACTCATTTCCTAGCCAAATCCCAAGAATGACAGAGGACTGCATTTTTCTAGATACAGAACTCAGTGACTTTATTCTCTGCAATGTTTCTACTGATCAACATACAAATTTCTCTTTCTCAGGCGAGGACTTGTTTTATTACAGGTTCCTATATGCAATTCCAGCTATTTATGGGATCATCATTTTGATTGGGCTAGTTGGTAATATCACCCTGATTAAAATCTTTTGTACAGTAAAGTCCATGAGAAATGTCCCTAATTTGTTTATTTCCAGTCTGGCTTTTGGAGACTTGCTTCTTTTGATCACTTGTGTTCCTGTGGATGCCAGCAGATATTTGTCTTCTGAATGGCTCTTTGGTCGAGTAGGATGTAAACTTATCCCTTTTATTCAGCTTACTTCAGTGGGGGTGTCAGTCTTCACCCTCATGGCTCTTTCTGCAGACAGGTAAGTGCCTTTTTGAACATCTCTTGAGATTCAGTCGTATTGTCTGAATGCAAATATAGGTTGCAGTTATTTTAACATGGCTGAAAATGTAATCAAGGAAAAGATTATGTCTAATTTATAATGAGAAGCCAAGAAAATCATACTTAGTATCACTTAAAGCTACACATGAAACATGGTAAGGTAGTTAAATTTCCAAGGGGGATCGCTGTGATGTCTTTTAACTTCAGTACTCTTTTTTCGTGCTGAACCATTATTATAATGCAATTTGATACAAGTTTATTCAAAGTAAACTCTTTGAGTTCAATGGAATTTATATACCTAAATGTATAGATTTAGAGTTGCTGCTTTTAACTGCTTTTAACGTTTGAAGTCAATGCAAATAACTTTTAACACTTGACAGACCTACAGGTGGAATATTATTTACTCATTTCATTTTTAATTAAAAATTCAAGAAATAGTCTAAGCATGTTTGTAACATTTAAAGTGTTTTGTGCTGGAAAAAATGAGGTTTCCTAGTGATAAATCTATTTAAGATCATTTAAAAACACATTTGTAGTTTGTATTTCTTTGTGATGAATTGAGGTAAAACACATGTTTAAAATCCACATTTATTTATTTTTCTGCAAATCTTAGGTGTTTAACGACACACTTTTAATATCACAGAAAGAACAGCTTTATTTGGTGCTAAATGCTTTAGCTTCAGTTATTTAGAATGATGATACAGAACAAAATAGAACTTTGCACAGATGTTTTAATTAACAAATTCCTTAAGATGAGGTTAACTGAAGAAAAAAACCATATTAACCAATTCACTGGGCATCTACTTAGAAAAGGAAATGAATAGTCTGTCTAATAATTTTCCCATTTAATTTTATATATAAGGTCATTGCTTAAATAAGCTTATTACTAACAAAAAGAATTAGATGTAATCATTAAAAAGTACCTCTTCATAATTGCTTTAAAATTATTTTTTAAAACACAGGAGTGTCTTTTTACCAATATATTAACTGTCTAAAATCTGGAATTCTTTGTCCAAAACGAATATGACAAAGATTTGATATCTGGCATAATTTCAAAGTAAATTATGGGATTATTTTGGGGTTGGGGTTGCTTGCTGGGCAGTATGTAAGCAACTAAATTAGGGAAGGAAACTGAAAAGAACAACCATTGGTGTTTCCCCAAAGCTGTGATTTTGTGTCACATCTGTACATCTATGTGTGTCCTTTTATTCAACTCAAAATTTTCATTGCATGCACTGGACGCAGAACTCATTCAAACATTGCAAAGACTAGTATTAAAATTGTAAGGAAAGATTATTATCTTGGTTTACACCAAAGAGACTCTTCATTTAGTATTAGCTACAGAGTTGTTTCGAAGAGATTCATAAATAAAACAAGATTAAAAATCCTTTCTACTTAATCCTATTGTCTGGTCATCTGACTACATTTTTTAAACATGAAAAATGAATTTGTGACATTGAAAGCCCCAATGTGTCAAAGGCAGTAAAAATTTTTTTTGCAATAATAACGTTCTTTAAAAGGACACAGATAATACACATATAATACTGTTGTCACAAAGCCATTCCACACATTATCCAGAATGAGGTGGGGGAATTTTGTACTGAACTATGTCCTTTAGAAGGGGAAATACCTTCTTTAGGAAAGTTGTCTTAAAAAATAACTCCATGGGCAAGTTATCGCTTATCTAAAAATATGAAAAACAGCCACACCCAGGTAGCTGACCATAGGCTGCTTCCAATATGCATAATAAGTCTCTGAGTGGCTTCTACAAATATGATGATTGTGTAGTAGCATGAATTTGCCATGATCACAACATAAGATGAGATATAAAACAAATAAATGTATGTATGTATAAAATGTATAAAATAATAAATGTATGCATGGATTTTTAGTAACTTGCAAAAATGCTGCATAGAAATGTATAAAAATTAATATTTAATATTGATATATGAGGAACACAGTCCAAATATAAAAAAAACAAATGCACTTATTTTTTATTGAAATAATAGCCTTATATTCTTCAGTCACGTAACCAAAAAACAGAATAATAAAGTTGCAAGGGAGGTCTTGGAGGTCTTCTAGTCCAACCCTCTGCTCAATCAGAAGACCTTTTACAATTTCAGACAAATGGTTGTTCAGTCTCTTCTTAAAAATCTCCAGTGTTGGAGCACCCACGACTTCTGGAGGCAAGTTGTTTCACTGATTAATTGTTCTCATTCTCAGGAAATTTCTCTTTAGTTCTAGGTTAGTTCTTTCCTTGATTAGTTCAAGGAATTAGTTCTTAATTAGTTCATGCATTGCTTCTTGAGCAGCCTTCAGGTGCTTTGAATGGCACTGAACAAAGGGACTTATGACCATTTTTCAAACTTATGACCATTGCAGCATCCCCATTGTCACAAGATCAAAATTTGGATACTTGGCAACTGGCATGTAGGCTGATCCCCTTTCCTTGTGGCAGCCCCTCAAATATTGGAACACTGCTAAGGTTATCCCTAGTCCTTCTTGTCACTAGACTAGACAAACTCAATTCCTGCAACCATTCTTCAAAAGTTTTAGCCTCCAGTCTCCTAATCCTCTTTGTTGCTCTTCTCTTCACTATTTCTAGAGTCTCAACATCATTTTTATATTATGTGACTGAAACTGGATGCAATATTCCATGTGGTCTTACCAAGGCATTATAAAGTGGTATTAACTCTTCACATAATCTTGATTTTATCCCTCTATTAATGCAGCCTCAGACTGCATTACTTTTTTGGTGACTGCAGGCTCATATTTAAGTGATTGTCCACTAAGGTCTTAGATCCCTCTCACAGTTACTGCAATTGAGTGAGGTACAACCTATTCTGTACTTGTGCATTTGTTTTTTCTTGCCTAAGTATAAAACCTTACTTTTCTTACCATTGAATTTCATTTTGTTAGATAGGGCCCAGTGTTTTAGTCTGTCGAGATCCTTCTGTATCTTAAGTCTATCTTCTGGGGTTTTGGCTATTCCTGCCAGCTTGGTATCATCTGCAAATTTAATGAGCTCCCCTTCAAATTTAATGAGCTCCCCTCATCTAAATTTTTTATGAAGAATATTGGGCCTAAGACAGAACCTTGGGGTACTCCATGTAGATACTGTCGTATTGAGGACTACATGTTGAGTGCAGTTTGTCAACCAGGAACAAATGCATCTAGTGGTAGTGCTGTCTATCCCACATTTTTCTATCTTTCCAAGAAGTAGGTTGTAGTCTACATTGTCAAATGCCTTACTGAAGTCCAAGTATACTATGCCCACAGCATTCCACTGGCTCACTAATTTAGTCACTTTGTCAAACAATGCAATAAGATTTGTTTGGCATGATTTGTTTTTGACAAATCCATGTTGGCTTCTGGTTATAACTTTATTTGTTTCTAATGTTCGCAGATCTGTTGGTTGATTGTCTTTTCCAGGATAGTTGGAACTTACAATCATTCATTTAGTGACCATTCAAAGTTACAATGGCACTGAAAAAAGGGACTTACGATCATTTTTTAAATTTATGACCATTACAGCATCCCCATTGTCACATGATCAAAATTTGGACGCTTGGCAACTGCCATGTATTTATGACAGTTGCAGTATCTTGGGGTCATGTGATCACCTTTTGTGACCTTCTGACAAGCAAAGTCAATGGGGAAGCCAGATTCATTTAACAACTGTGTTACTAACTTAACAACTGCAGTGATTCACATAACAACTGTGGCAAAAAAGATTATAAAATGGAACAAAACTCAATTAACAATTATCTTATTTAGGAAGAGAAATTTTGGCTCAATTGTGGTTACCTGTATTTATTTGTTTGTTTATTTATTAAACAAATTTATATAGCTGCTGTTGTGTCCTGAGCCTGCAAAAGCAGGCTCGGGATGTTGCAAGAGTCCTGGGCATTTGCAAAAGCTGCCCGGGACCAGACTGAGCGGCGCCGGCCTTGTGCGCATGCGTAAGGCGGGAAAATACCGCCTTGTGATTGGTTGGAAATGCCCGGGGATCAGAAGGTATAAATAGAGGCCTGCATGCCTCTGCTCAGGTTGTTCGTAGAATGGAAGCAGAGAATAAAGACTTGTTAGAAATGCTTCGTCTCAAGCGCCATTATTCTCCGGACTTAACACTGGCGACGAAGGTGGGATCCAGTCTAGACAGCTAGGAAAGCTTGAAGACTCACCCAAAGAAGTCCGGAAGAGGAAACAGCGTGGAAGTCAGCGTTATTCTGCCAGTACGAAATCGCTGGAGGGTGCGTGCGACTGAAGAAGACCCTGATCCTCGATCATGGCAAAAGTTGGGCATTTAGCGGAATTCGACGTCTCTCACCCCGAGAGGTGGGAATCTTATGTTGCAAGAGTTGAGACGTACTTCCGCATAAACCAGATACGGGAGGAAGGCTTAAAGGCTGCCACGTTGTGCGTTTGTGGGCAAGACGCCTTTGAGATCGCCGAGAGCTTAATCGCCCCGGACTCGCTGGAAATGGTTTCATACTCCGATCTGAAGAAAGTTTTAAAGGAACACTTCCAGCCCAAGCAATCTGTCATGGCTTGGAGGCACACATTTGAATTGAGAGATCAGCGAGCTGGGGAATCAGCAAAAGAATACGTTGTGGCCTTGAGAAGAGCAGCTAAACCGTGCGACTTCAAGGACTTAGAGGAAAGACTGTGTGATCATTTTGTGTGCGGACTGAGGAACACAGACTTACAGCAGAGGCTGTTCGCCAGGGAAGATGTCTCTTTCCAAGATGCTCTGCGAGAGGTTTCGGCTGAAGAAGCTGCAGGTGGGGCGGTCAAGAACATGCGGCCTAAGC